CTGGGTGACTTTGGGCCAATCACTAGGAGGCTGTGAGTTCTAGTCCCGCCTTAGGCAGGAAAACTGACTGGGTGACTTTGGGCCAATCACTAGGAGGCTGTGAGTTCTAGTCCTGACTTTGGCATCAAAACACAGCCGGGTGAGAAACCGTGTCACGTCTGTGGTTCATTTCTCTCTTTTTTTTCTTCCTCCATTCAGGCAAATACCACTGCCCGATTCTTTTCACAGTCTTCACCAACAACTCCCACATCGTGGCCATCAAGACCACCGGGAACGTGTTCGGTTCGGAGGTGAGCCTGTTCAGAACCCGCGTCACGGTTGACGACGCAGGTAGTCCTCGGCTTAGGGAGCAGAATTTCCGTGGCCAAGCCAGGCGGTTGCTAAGCGGGTTCCACTCCTTATTTCGGGTTTGAAAAGACGCCGGGGGGGGGGAAAAATCGCACGGTGATTCTCGACCCTCCACTGATTCCCCGTTCCTTCCGTTTTTTTCCCCCCCCAGGCAGTTGAGCAGCTGAATATAAAAACCAAGTCCTTCCAAGACCTCTTGAGCGATGAGCCCTTCTCCAGGCAGGATATCATTACGCTGCAGGTGAGGCTTATTAAAAGAATAAAATGAGTTTTGGTTTCGGCCTTCCCCTCTTTGCTGCCCTCCATTCCTTCAGAGTCTCCTTCTCACAATTTATGTGTGTGTGTATATATATATATGTATATGTGTTTTTCAAAATTTGGATTGCTAACAAAGAATTAAGGGAGAACTGGAATAGCCATTTCGAACTTTTTCGTTCTTTTCAACCAGACATACCCTTCTGAGATTCAAACCTGGGCTGTCTGCATGTTAGGCAGATGTATTAACCTCTAGGCCACAGGCTCTTTCTCACTTTGTCAGCTATGAGACAGGGGAGAAGAATTATCTTGAGTTTGGTGCACCCTGTCGGCCCAAATATGCCTGCATGCTTAACATATATGTGTGTATACACATAAACATAGATATACATACCCACACTATATACACACACATATATATTTGTTTATATATACATATGTATATATAAATATATATATTTATATATACATATCCCTCCCCCTTTCTCTCTTCCTCCCTCCCTCTCTCTCCCTCCCTCTCCCTCCCTCCCTCCCCGTCTCTTTCTTTTTCTTTCTCTCTGTCTCTTTCTGACTTTTTCTTTCTCTCCCCCTCCCTCTCTCCCTCTCTGTCTCTTTCTGTCTTTTACTTTCTCTCTCCCTCTCTGTCTCTTTGTTTTTTTTCTTCCTCTCCCTTTCTCTCCCCGTCTCTCTCTTTCTGTCTTTTTCTTTCTCTCTCCCTCTGTCTCTTTCTGTTTTTTTCTTTCTCTCCCCTGTCTCTTTCTGTCTTTCTTTCCCTGTCTCTCTGTCTTTTTCTTTCTCTCCCTCTCTGTCTCTCTCTTTCTGTCTTTTTCTTTCTCTCTTTCTTCCTCCCTCCCTCCCTCTCTTTCTCTCTCCCCCCCCCCACCTCCTCCCCTCTTGACTTACTAAACATCAGTTCGGTTTTACTGCCAGCCATAAAACTAAAGATTTATTTACCGGCCAGAGCAAACAATTTCAGGGCTCAGTGAAAGGCATATTATGTCACTTAATGAGAGATGGAGCAGCCGTCTCTCTCTCTCTCTCTCTCTCTCTCTCTCTCTTCTCTCGAGCGGAGTTTGGAATATTATTGGAGGCTTTCTTATCGGAACACACAATGCCACATTTATCTCCCGTTCTGCCACTTGCGCTCCCACTGACGTCTTCTTCTTCTTTCTTCCACCGTTCTCTGGGCTCACTTTGGATTCAGGCCGTCGGCCGTTCATCCCTGCCCACTCTGCCGGATTTTTATTTATGTATTCGGCAGTGGCGGGGAGAAAACTGCTCTGGAAGCCGTCCACGTTGAGTTTCCTCACCCTGATAGAGAAGCTGCCGGAACGGAACAAAGCTTTTTATCCCGATCTTCCCTAGTGGCTTCCCCCCCCCCTCAAAAAAAAAATAATACAAAAGGGGCTGGAGGCTCAGCCAAGCTCAGAATTGTTGCTCCAAAGCTGCTGATCTTCTCTGTGTTTTTTTTATTATTTATTTCATTTAGGATCCCACCAATTTGGACAAATTTAACGTCTCCAGCTTCTTTCACGTGAAGAACAATTTGAGAGTCACCGACCCGGGTAAGAGGGATGGCGGAGAACGGCAGGCAGTCCTCAACGTACGACCAGAACTTCTGCTGGCTAAGCAAGACATCTGTTAAGAAAGAGAGTTTTGCCCCATTTGGCCACAGTCGTTAAGTGGATCGCTGCTGATAACACGGTTGTTAAGTGAATCTGGTTCCCCCCTCGGGAGGTGGCAAAAGGGGGGGTCACGTGACCCCGGGGACACAGCGACCGTCGTAAATACGAGTCAATTGCCCAGCGTCCGAATTTTAATCACGGGGATAGTGTAAACGGTCGTAAATGTGAAAAACGGTCGTAACGGTCACCTTTTTTGTCAGGGGCATTGTAACTTCGATCAGCCACTAAGCAAATGATTGTAACTTGAGGACTACCTGGAGAAGGGGACTGTGAACCATGGAAAACCCAAGCTGAGATTTTGGATGAGCTCAAAATATAATGTTTTTAAAAAGGATGCTGCCGTTTTTAAGGTCCCACCCAGCCCCAAAGGTGTTTGGCTCGTGTCTTTCGGTTCTCTGCAGGCTTCTCAAGTTTAGTGATCTCAAGATGTACCAAGACTATAAACTGAGTTTCATTAAGAGGGCATCGGGGAGGCAGTGATAATTGTATTTCACCTGGAGAACCAAATTTGCTAAGCGGCTGAGGTTAAAATATAATTACAGTTCCTCAGCCACCGGTCAATAAAGAGCAACTGAACAAAGAAGCATTCTTTGACATATTACATTTACAACCGTCATTGGGTTGTTAAATAAGAATTCAGAACCACGTAACAAACTCAAGCCTCAATTTGGTCCATTTAGATCAGCATTTCTCTGGCTGAGAACTCTGGCCCTTGAAACCCACGCCTCTTAAAGCATGCTGGCTGGGGAATTCTGGGAGTTGAAATTTACCTATATAAAAACACGTCAGCTGGTAAATTCTGGAGGTCTAACCATCATAGAACATGGTGGCTAGGGAATTCTGGGAGTCAAAGTCCACCCATCTTAAAGCATGGTGGCTGGGGAATTCTGGGACTTGAAGTCCATCCATCATAGAACATGCTGGCTGGGGAATTCTGGGACTTGAAGTCCCCCATCTTAAAACATGCTGACTTGGGAATTCTGGGAGTTGAAATTTACCTATATAAAAGCACGCCAGCTGGTAAATCCTGGAGGTCTAACCATCTTAAAGCATGGTGGCTAGGGAATTCTGGGAGTTGAAGTCCCCCCATCATAGAACATGCTGACTGGGGAATTCTGGGAATTGAAGTCCACCCGTCTTAAAGCATGCCAGCTGAGGAATTCTGGGAGTTGAAGTCCCCCCATCTTAAAACATACTGACTTGGGAATTCTGGGAGTTGAAGTCCACCCCTCTTAAATCACGCTAGCTAGGGAATTCTGGGAATTGAAGTCCCTGCCTCTTCAAGCTGCCAGGAATGAGTGATACTGCTTTAGATGCTGATTAATTCTGTTGTCCTCCGGTATTTCGCTCTGCCGTCCTGTTACGTCTTCAGCAGAGCCCAGAAACGGGGCTGATCCTTCCCGGTGTAGACAAGGCCGCTCCTGATCGATTGCGATCTTTTGCAGATGACGAAAAGGCCAGATCAGACCCCTCCTATTATTTGAAAAATGCCAACGTGGAGACCAGAGAGACTCTGTCGGAGTTATACAAAGAATTCAAAGGGGACGATATCCTGGCGGCCACAATGAAAGAGCCGGAGAAGAAGAAAACAGACAGGCTGAATGCGGTGAGTTGATACGTCAAGGGCCGTTGTTTTTTTTTAAAAAAGCAACTGGAGAACGGAGTGTTATCTCGAACCCTGCTTTTCCAACTTGGCCACTGGAAGATGGGAGGACTTCAACTTGGAACGGTCACTAAATGAACGGCTGTAAGTCGAGGACTACCTGCATTGCAAATGTTCTCCCTCTGATCTCCTCACCTGTTGCTGTTTTAACAGGCTCACTATTCCACAGGGAGAGTCAGCGCCTCGTTCACATCCACAGCCATGGCGCCTGAGACGACGCACGAAGCAGGTAAAGGTTCCTTCCTTCCTTCCTTCCTTCCTTCCTTCCTTCCTTCCTTCCTTCCTTCCTTCCTTCCTTCCTTCCTTCCTTCCTTCCTCTGCATAAATTCCACTCCCTTCTAGCACTGATGATGCTACCTAGTTTGGCTAATGAAATGTCTGCAAGAAAATAGGCAAGCTAGCTCAGAGAACACCAAGGACCATACAGTCCTTCCTTCCTTCCTTCCTTCCCTCCCTCCCTCCCTCCCTCCTTCCCATAAACCCCACTCCCTTCTAGCCCTGACGACGTTACCTAGTTTGGCTAATGAAACGTCTGCAAGAAAACCACCCAGCTCAGAGAGCATCATGGACCCCTGAACAATACACATCAGTGCAACCATGTGCCCTTGGCCTCTCTCAACAGCTGCCATAGATGACGACGTGGTGCGCTACCAATACGTCAAGAAGAAGGGCTACGTCCGGTTACACACCAACCGGGGAGACCTCAACCTGGAGCTTCACTGCGACATGGTGAGGCCACAGTTGGCTTGTTGGTGGCCAAGTCTTCAGATGCAGACGGTCCTATAAATCCCGTGGGCCCCAAAGGTGGAGGTGGTGGGGATGATTAGCGAAAGGAGTCGTGGGAACTCTAGTCCCCCTTGTCTGGAAGGTGCCACCTCAGAACCTGCATTGTTTTCACGGGTAACTTTTCCCAGGTGGAGCTTGGTGTTCACACAGCTTCATGGTTGGGCTTCAGAAGTGTCAGACAGGGGCCCAGGTGTGAAAAAAATAGGGATTTAAAGTTGTTTTGGAAGAAAGGGACCTCCATCTCTTCGTGTTTGTTTAAAAAAAGAATTGAACAGCAGTTAAGGAACGACAAGTTGTCAAGTAACCTCAGTCTATTAACGTATAGAAAAAGGGATGTTTGCTAGTAAATAATAAGCAGACTAGAAATCCCTTCAATTTGCCGTTTGTCATGGACATTACTAAAGTTAGCTTCGATATCTAGGCAGTCCTCGACTTATGACCGCCACTGAGTCCAAAATTTCTGTCGCTAAGCGAGGCAGTTAAGTGAGCTTTGCCCCCATTTTACAGCCTTTCTTACCACAGTTGTTAAGGGGATCGCTGCGATTGTTGAGCTAGACTCCCTCTAGTAAAAAAAAAAAGTGGTGCTTTAAAGCCGCTGACGAACGAGTCTTAAGATCACCTTGAAAGAAAGATGCTCTTTGAGTACCTGGATGAATCTCGCCAGGGAGAAGGTGGGTGGGAAGAGGTTTGCCTCCAGGGTGTATTTTTAGATCCTCCGTGTGGAGGTGAGAAGCGGGGAATCTGCGCAGCGCTGGCCTCAGAGGTGAGGAACGGGCAATGGCGCGGACTTGTCACAACATGCCGTTGTGCAGGAGCCTTAAACAAAGAGAATAGAATAGAATATAGAAAATAGAATAAAGAATAGAAAATAGAAAATAAAAAATAGAAAATAGAATGAATGGAATAGAATGGAATGGAATAGAATAGAATAGAATAGAATAGAATAGAATAGAATAGAATAGAATAGAAAACAAAAAATAGAATAAAGAATAGAAAATAGAATAAGGAATGGAATGGAATGAAAACGGAAACCTGATATCAATCTAAGCAAGTTGTGCTTCCTTTTTCTGGCTATATAATAATAATAATATTAATATTAATAATAATAATAATATTAATAATAATAATAATAATAATAATAATAATAATAATAATAATAATAATAATAGTAAAAAATAAAGTTGGAAGGGATCTCGGAGGTCATCTAGTCCAACCCCCTGCTCAGGCAGGAAACCCTATACCATTTCGGACCAATGGCTGTCCAGTCTCTTCTTAAAAACTTCCAATGTTGGAGCATTCACCGCTTCTGGAGGCAGGTTGTTCCACTGGTTAATTGTTCTCACTGTCAGGAAGTTTCTCCTTAGTTCTAGGTTGCTTCTCTCCTTGATTAGTTTCCATCCGTTGCTTCTTGTCCTGCCTTCAGGCGCCTTGGAGAAGAGCTTGACTCCCTCTTCTTTGGGGCAGCCCCTGAGATATTGGAACACTGCTATCATGTCCCCCCTCGTCCTTCTCTTCGTTAAACTAGACATATACATTACAGATAACGGAACAAACTTTGTTGCATTACATTCTTGATTAAATTACCTTTCCATTGATATATACTTTTAGGGTACTACTCCCCCCCCCCAAAAAAAGTGGTGTTATTAGCCATCAGACCTCAAAAATACACTTTTCCCAAAAGGTTTCCACAATTGTGGCCACTACTGTATTCGTCTCCCTTCCCAACATCCCTTTTGCTTTGGCCAATAGCAAATGGTTGAGCCACAAACCAAATCAGATTTGGGTTGTTGTTGGGGTTTTTTTTTCCCCTCCTCGAGAACTTAAAGCAGAAATTCCAAAAAATCTGGAATTGTTCTTTTAAGTGGCAAAAGGGCAGGAAAAAATAGGAAGGAAGGAAGGAAGGAAGGAAGGGATCGGGTGCACTTTCCAAGGGAGCAAAGAAGCTTTTAAGCTGGTTTTTCTCGTCCTTCCTTTCAGGAACGTTGCTAAGGCAACTCCAGCTTGCTTGCCAGAATGCGATGCGCCTCGCATGATGCACAGGCAGTGGCCATGGGAACCAGCTCTCTCTGTGCGTGTGGAAAGAGAGAGAGAGAGCCTGTGTATAAATATAAATAAAATCACAAGGAAATAATTTGCAGCCCACAGAGTGTTTGTAAAAAAACATATCTCTTTCCACTGTGGGTTAAATTCATTATTGCTTTACTGAGCGCTGAAATGGGGCTGTTTGTGCTCTCCCTGAAGTAAAAAATTCATTTTTGCAGATTTAACAAGCATTCGTTTAGTGACCGTTGGACGTTAAGAGAAAAAAAGTGACTTGCCACCGTTTTTCACCTTTAACGACCGTTGCAGCATCTCTGTGTTCGCATGATCAAAGTTTGGCTGCTTGGCAACCGGTTTCATACTTATGACGGTCGCAGTGGTCCCGGGTGTGTGTTTGTGTGTGTGTGTGTGTCATCCGATCCCATTTTGCGACCTCCTGACAAGCAATGTCACTTCCGTTGCTAAGCGAGACGTTTGAGGTGGCTTTTGCCTCGTTTTACGACCATCGCTTGCCATTCTCATTTAAGCCAATCGCCGCAGTTTGTTAATAACACTGTCGTTAAGCGAAGCTGGCTTCCCCCATTGGTTCTGCTAGTCGGAAAGTCGCAAAAGGGGGGTCACGTGATCCCGAGACTGTCACACCAAACGAGTCGGTTGCCAAAAAGCGTCTGAATTTTGATCCTGGGGATTCTGCAACGGTCGTAAGTGTGAGAACTGGCCGTAAGTCACTTTTTCCAGGGCATTGCGACTTCGAACAGTCACTAAACGAACTGTAGTAAGTTGAGGACTACCTGCGATCTCAGCCATGGCTATTTTTAAATTTATTTATTATTTGTTAAATGTATTTGCTGCCTATCTCGCCATGCAGCTTCTCTAGGCAGCTTAAGACAATAAAAAGGAAGAAATGAACAGAAGGGTCAACAAAAGGAGGATAGAACCATAGAATAAGCAGTGAAAAAGAAAACGGCGAGAATCGATCCATTATGATAACAAAAGACAGACAGGTGGAAAGAACTTGTGGGCTTCAATTCCCAGAATTCCTGAGCCAGCATGGCTCAGCTTGGAACCTCTCCCTTTCCCCTCAGCATGGCTGGCTCAGGAATTCTGGGAGTTGAAGTCCACGAGTCATAAAAGAGCCAAGGTTGCCTACCTCTGGCCTAGGCCTAGGCCGCTTTATGACTCGTGGACTTCAACTCCCAGAATTCCTGAGCCAGCATGGCTCAGCTTGGAAACTTTTCCCTTTCCCCTCAGCGTGGCTGGCTCAGGAATTCTGGGAGTTGAAGTCCACCAGTCATAAAAGAGCCAAGGTTGCCTCAAACCCCTGCTGTAGTTCATCCCACGAAGGGCTTTCCTGTGTAAAAACCAACTGGATTTCATTACAAGTGTGTTTTTTTTCCCTGTCTCTCCCAGACCCCTAGAACCTGTGAAAACTTCATTCAACTCTGCAAGAGGAACTACTACGATGGGACCATATTTCACCGATCAATTCGCAATTTCGTGGTGAGTATCGAACTGGAAGGCCGAAGGCATAAATGTCTGCCCGGCCAACGAGAGAGAAAGAGAGTTGCTGGGTCTTAATTAATGGCTGTCCTGGTGCGGTTGCCGCCATCTCCTCTGGATCAACAACCAGTATTTGAGGGGCTGCCATAAAGAAGAGGAGGGGGTCACGTTACTAACCAAAGCACCAAAGGGCAGGACAAGAAACAACGGTTGGAAACTGGTCAAAGAGAGAAGCAACCTGGAATTAAGGAGAAAGTTCCTGTCAGTGAGGACCAATTAACCAGTGGAACAGCTTTGCCTCCAGAAATTGTGGGCGCTCCATCACTGGAGGTTTTTAAGAAGAGGCTAGACAGTCACTTGTCTGAGATGGTATTGGTCCTCCTGCTTGAGCAGGGGGCTGGACTAGAAGATCTCCAAGGTCCCTTCCAGCTCTATTCTAATTCTTATTCTATTCTATTCCATTTACTCTGTTCTATTCTGTTCTGTTCTATTCTCCTGCTTGAGCAGGGGGCTGGACTAGAAGACCTCCAGGGTCCCTTCCAGCTCTATTCTAATTCTTATTCTATTCTATTCCATTTACTCTGTTCTATTCTGTTCTGTTCTATTCTATTCTCCTGCTTGAGCAGGAGGCTGGACTAGAAGATCTCCAAGGTCCCTTCCAGCTCTATTCTATTCTATTCTATTCTATTCTATACTATACTATACTATACTATACTATACTATACTATACTATACTATACTATACTATACTATACTATACTATACTATACTATACTATACTATACTATACTATACTATACTATACTATACTATACTATACTATACTATACTATACTATACTATACTTACTCTATTCTATTATTCTGTTCTTATTTTATTTTATTCTATTCTATTCTGCTTTATTCTTATTCTGTTCTTCTACTTTATTCTTATTCTATTCTTATTCTGTTCTATTTTATTCTTATTTTATTCTTATTCTATTCTAAATTTCTATTTCTATTATTTCTATTATTTCTATTTCTATTCAACTGTAGTGGACATAACCTAAACCCCGACCTGAGCAGAACAGAGAGTTGCTCCGTGTCCTTACCACCCTCGTTGCATCAGTCACGCCATCATCGGTTCAACCTCAGAAGTTGCCTTTTCAGTTAGTCCTTGACTTTACGACCACAGCTGAACCCAACATTTCCTCTCTCTTGGACTCTGACCCACAGTTTACCCTGTGAGGGAAGTCTGTACCTGGAGAACTTGTGGGTTTTGCAATTATTTCCCCTTTGCCAAGCTTTTTCTCTCCCCCCTTCCCTGTTCAGCTGCTGAAAACCTCTTTATTGTAATTTGGTTGATCGATTACGGCAGGGCCCCAGTTAAAGGAGAAGGAAATAAAAAATAATGTTTTTCTTTTCTCCAATGGGTTGATAAAAAATAACATCTTGAAGGATCTCAACGATAAATCCATGGCTGTCCAGCTTCCCCCCCCTCCACCTCTCCACCTTACACTGTCTTTATCTTTTGATTGTCTAGATTCAAGGTGGAGACCCTACCGGGATTGGAACAGGTAAAGAATCCCAGGTTTTCTTTCTTTCCTGATTCATTTTAGTTCTTTGTAGACCCTGCAGGAGGAGGAGAACCTCGCTAGTCTGTGGTAGCCAAAAATAGGAGGAGTCTGCTGGCATACTTAAATTAATCAACTAAGTTATTCCTACCTTAATAGAAAAATAATTAAATAAAGATGGGAAAGTTTAAGATCCTCTGTTCTGAATCCATTGACATATCTTGGATGGGAAGTTGAGGAAACATTCAGGATTCTGGGAAGGGAGGGTGTTGAGACAGTTTGGTTTAGTGGTTAAGGCACTGGACTAGACTAGAAACAAGGAGACACTGAGTTCTAGTCCTACCTTAGCCAGCTGGGAGACTTTGAGCCAATCACCAGGACACTATAAGTTCTAGTCCCACCTTAGCCATGAAAACCAGCTGGGTGATCCTGGGCCAATCACCAGGAGGCAGTGAGTTCTAGTCCTGCCTTAGCCATGAAAGCCAGCTGAGTGGTCTTGGGCCAATCACCAGGAGGCAGTGAGTTCTAGTCCCGCCTTAGCCATGAAAGCCAGCTGAGTGGTCTTGGGCCAATCACCAGAAGGCGGCGAGTTCTAGTTCTGCCTTAGCCATGAAAGCCAGCTGAGTGGTCTTGGGCCAATCACCAGGAGGCAGTGAGTTCTAGTCCCGCCTTAGCCACGAAAGCCAGCTGAGTGGTCTTGGGCCAATCTCCAGGAGGCGGTGAGTTCTAGTCCCGCCTTAGCCATAACCCACCTTGTCATAACCAAATCCAGAAATGAAATAAACCCTGAGAGGCCGATCCCATACCAGGTTCTGGATGCAACCGTGAACCGAAACTTTGAAGGAGCAGATGGGCAGAGAGAAAGTGAGCGCGCACGGGCCGTATTTAGATCGATCCGTGTGACTGTGAGGGGTCCGGAGGCGTGGGGTGTTGGTGTGTGTCTGTTTTCCCTGTAGGAATAGTTCTCCTAGCGCAGAGTGAACATCCGGGACACTTCACGTTCTTTCCAATCTTTGCTGCTTCCAAGGGCAGGCGGTAAATGTGGACCCACTGATAAAGGGGACTGATTTTTTGCTCTGTCTTTTTTTTTTTTTTTAAATTGAATTGGCAGAGATTTCTGGCACTTGGCCACCTGCCAGTAGTCACAACAAAGCTGTTCCTTTGTCTTGGCTGTATAAATTGTACAGCTGTAAATTTGGGACTTGATAAGAGATGGATTTGTGGCCTCCTTGGTGCTCTCTGAGGTTGGTTGTGTTCATGTAGGTGTTTCATCACCCAACTAGGTAAGATCATCACTGCTAGAAGGGGAGGAGGAGGATTGTGTGGTCCTTAGTGCTCTCTGAGGTTGATTGTTTTCTTGCAGATATCTCCCTACCCAACTAGGCAACGTCATCAGTACTAGAAAGATGTGGGTTTTGTGGAATGGAGGAGGAGGAGGAGGAGGAGGAGGAGGAGGAGGAGGAGGAGGAAAAGGATTGTGTGGTCCTTAGTGCTCTCTGATCTTGGTAGTTTTCCTGCAGATATTTCCCTACCCAACTAGGCAACGCCATCAGTACTAGAAAGATGTGGGTTTTGTGGAGAGGAGGAGGAGGAGGAGGAGGAGGAGGAAAAGGATTGTGTGGTCCTTAGTGCTCTCAGATCTTGCTCTCTGATCTTTCCTGCAGATATCTCCCTACCCAACTAGGCAACGTCATCAGTACTAGAAAAATGTGGGTTTTGTGGAATGGAGGAGATGGAGGAGGAGGAGGAGGAGGAGGAAGAGCATTGTAAATAGCTGGACCTCAGTTACAGACAGACCAAAGAGCTTCCCTTCTCCACCATCCAGACAAGATGCTTTTGAGAAGCTGGACATAGGACACCACAGTGGAATTTAAGAGTTGCTTTGAGGCAGCACGTTGGCTTTTACTTCCTGCCAGAAATCCTTTCCCTTCCCTCCTGCCTTCTTTCCCTGGTCCTCCTCCTGTCCCGTGGAAGCAGGGCCGGCTTTCCGACACGTCCGTTGTTTTCGTTTCAGGCGGAGAGTCGTGCTGGGGGAAGCCGTTCAAAGACGAACTGAGGCCCAACTTGTCCCACACCGGGCGAGGCGTCCTCAGCATGGCCAACACGGGGCCCAACACGAACAAGTCTCAGTTGTAAGTGGTGACTTGGCTCTTCCCGTGTCCTCGCGGGCTCCCGTCCGGAAACCTCTGGAAGGAGCGAGGACTCTTCTCCAGGTGGAAGCTAACCTTGGAAGGTGGTCTCCTCATTATCTTCCATCTGCTTGAAGTTTGCACCTTCGACTTTGTCATAAAAAATGCCTATCTTGGGGCATCTTTGAGAACTACCTGGAAGATTTAAAAAAAAACAAAAAAAAAACAACAACCATACTAATGAATCCTTTGAAGAGCATATTTGTAGCTCGGCGTTGAATTGGGGTATCCTTGGTGCTCTCTGAGCTTGGTTGTTTTCTTGCAGACGTTTCATGACCCAACTAGGTAACATCATCAGTGTTAGAAGGGAGGAGGAGGAGGAGGAGGTGGTGGTGGTGGTGGTGGTGGTGGTGGTGGAGGAGGAGCAGCAGCACTGGGGGGCCCTTGGTGCTCTCAGAGTTTGATTGTTTTCTTGCAGACGTTTCATGACCCAAACTAGGTAACATCATTAGTGCTAGAAGGGGGTAGGGTTTATGGAGAAGAAGGAAGGAAGGGAGGGAAGGAAGGAAGGAGTATGGGGTCCTTGGTGCTCTCTGAGCTTGGTGGTTTTCTTGCAGACGTTTCATGACCCAACTAGGTAACATCATCAGTGTTAGAAGGGAGTGGGGTTTGTGGAGAGGAAGGGAGGGAGGGAGGGAAGGAAGGAAGGACTGTGGGATCCTTGATGCTCTCAGAGTTTGGTTCTTTTCTTGCAGACGTTTCATGACCCAACTAGGTAACATCATCAGTGTTAGAAGGGAGGAGGAGGAGGATGTGGAGGATGACGATTGTGAGATCCTTGGTGCACTCTTAGCTTGGTTGTTTTCTTGCAGACGTTTCACGACCCAATTAGGTCATCAGTGCAAAAGCTGAGGACTCTTCTGCTGAGGAGCACTGATGACGTTACCTAGTTGGGTCATGAAACGTCTGCCAAGAAGCCACCAAGCTCAGAGAGCACCAAGGACCCCACAATTCAACAGGTAACTGGACGATTCATCACGGGCAGTCCCCGGCTTACAACTGGAATGGAGCCTGCCCGTTAGGGTCGTAAGTTACGATGATCCTAAAGCGGCTCAGCCATGCGACACATCCAATTTTACAACCACGTTCGCCCCAGTCATAAAAACACCACAGTCACCAAGCCAACAGTTGTTCCCCGTGGACAACACAAAACTGTTACCATCCAGTTTTGCCGAAAACTGGAAATAAATGCTGTTTTGGGCGGAAGACGTCATAAAATGCAGTCGTATGACCTTGCAGCGGCTATAAATGCCGGCCACTCGCTAAATGCCCCAAATGGGGTCACATGACTGTGGATGGGGCAACCATCATAAATAACCCCAGGGAGATCTATTATACCATATTTTCCCCCCAAAATAAGACTGGGTCTTATATTAATTTTTGCTCCAAAAGGCACATTAGGGCTTAAGTTCCGGTATTTTAGTATTTTCAGGAAAATACTAAATGGGTCCATCTGGCTGACGATCTTAACTGGGGCTTATTTTTGGGGGGTGGGGCTTATATTACGAGCACCCTGAAAAATCATGCTAGGGCTTATTTTCCAATTGGGTCCTTTTGGGGGGGAAATTTCGGGTAATTTTGAACATATTTGGTCATAAACTGAGGATACCTGCAGTTCCCGGAGAGGCCCTTGGCTTCCTCCGGTGTTTCTTCAAATCTGTAAAACTACAGACTCCCGGGAACTGCTGTAAATTAAATCTTAATTTAAATTTAATCAACCCAGTCGGGGCATCCTGTAATTGGATTTGAGAAGCCGCCGATTACAGAGCCTGGCTCTGGGATTACAAATGACCCGATCCTCGTTTTAGAATTTTTATGTTGTGGTTTGTTTTTTTCCCCAATTTCATCTGGAAAGGTGGAAGCTTCGTTCCTCCGCCGTTCACTCTGCTCAGATAGGTCTTACCCTTCAAACTGGAGACCGTTTGGCTGAGAGAAGTCACAGCTCTTTGTGTTGTTGTGATGCATGCACTTGTTTTGGGGGAGCCCTTGACGCGTTCGTTTCGTGACATGCTTCCTTTTCTCCTTCCTACCAGCTTCATTACGTTCCGCTCCTGCGCCTACCTGGATAAGAAGCACACCATATTTGGAAGGTAAACGAAGACATTTCTCTAGCCAGCATTTCATAATTGCCTTAAGAGCAGTCTGTATAGCAACCAGTTTATTTAAAAAAAGAAAAAATGACTGGAGAAAAGATGGACTTGCAAGCAACCTCAGTATAAAAGAGCTCAAATTCACGACCCAAGCTAATAAATGCTCCGATTGTTTGATAGGGGATTCTTTAGAAACCGCTGCTCTGCCGTATATAAATAAAAAGCTTTCCTTGTTTGTTCCCACTGGAGCCAGGCTTGAGAGATCTAAAAGCAGACATTCATAATTTGAGCCTTCAGCCTGTCAGAGGCCAAGGGTCATTCTTCATTTCCATCAGAACTTCAGGTTTGCAAAAATGGAAAAAAAAAAAAAGCCAAACTTGGTTAGAGCCTATATCTCAACATGGGGCCTTTTCCTAGCCGGTCCTCTTATTGCTGGTGAGATAGCCCTTATTACAGTCACCAAGTCACAGCAACCTCTTCCCCAGGTTAACATGAAGGGTGAGGGGGCTTTAAATCAATTTAAGTGAGCACAAAAGCTACCCGTGTTCTCAATCTGGGCTTCGTGAAGATGGGTGGACTTCAGCTCCCAGAATTCTCCAGCTAGGTTGTTAAGTAGGCGAAGGGGAGAAAATTAACACAGGCTGGACTGAAAATTGCAACGATAAGAAGAGAATATACGTAGCTCAGGGTTGAACTGTGGGGTCCCTGGTGCTGTCTGAGCTTGTTTGTTTCCTTGCAGACGTTTCATGACCCAAACTAGGTAACATCATCAGTGCTAGAAGGGAGTGGAATTTATGGAGAGGAAGGAAGGAAGGAAGGACTATGGGGTCTTTGGTGCTCTCTGAGCTGGGTGGTTTTCTTGCAGACATTTCATGACCCAAACTAGGTAACATCATCAGTGCTAGAAGGGAGTGGAATTTATGGAGAGGAGGAATGAAGGAAGGACTATGGGGTCCTTGGTGCTCTCAGTTTGGTGGTTTTCTTGCAGACGTTTCATTACCCAAGGAGGTAACATCATCAGTGCTACAAGGGAAGGGAATTTATGGTGAGGATGAAGGGGAGGGAGGGAGGGGAAGGAAGGAAGGAAGGGACTATGGGATCCTTGGTACTCTCTTAGTTTGGTTGTTTTCTTGCAGACGTTTCATTATCCAAACTAGGTAACATCATCAATCCTAGAAGGCAATGGAATTTATGGAGAGGAAGGAAGGAAGGAAGGAAGGAAGGAAGGAAGGAAGGAAGGAAGGAAGGAAGGACTATGAGGTCCTAGGTGCTCTCTGAGCTTGCTTATTTTCTCGCAGACGTTTCATTACCCAACTAGGTAACATCATCAGTGCTACAAGGGAGTGGGGTTTGTGGAAAGGAGAACGAGAGGAGGAGGACTGTGAGGTCCTTGGTGCTCTCTGAGCTTGTTTTTTTCTTGCAGACATTTCATTACCTAACTAGGTAACATCATCAGTGCTAGCAGGGAGTGGGGTTTGTGGAGAGGAGGGGGAAGAGTTCCCCACCGCGTGTTTTTCTTCGCTTTCGATTAGGTTCAGATGAAAACCCAGCTCTGTTCTTTTTAAAAATAATAATAATAATAATAATAATGAAACAAGCTCCTTTCAGAATTGTAGGAAGCACAGTAGCGCAAAGAAAAGAAGGAGCATTTTTTCAGTCTGCAGCATGTGGAGTGATCTCAAGGCCTTATTAGAGACACGCGCGCGCACCCCCTCCACAAAAAGAAGACACTCAAGTTAATTGTGAGGGGAATGTAGGAGCTTTAGATGCAGAGTGCCCTCCGGGGACAGTTAACAGCGTCACCTGGGGTTTGAATCTTCAACATCTGGAAGAAAAGCTTCTGTCTGGGAGAGACCGGGGGGGCGACTGCGGCTTTTCTAAGCTTTTGGGGAAGTCGTTTGCGTAACAGCTGGTCTGAAAAATGCCATCCCCTCCCAGGTTTAAAAGCCAAGAGAATGAATCCTGCCGTCATTGGGCTCCAAGGGGACCTTGGAGGTCTTCTAGTCCCACCCCCTGCTTAAAGGCAGGAGGAGTCTTCAGACTTCGCCCTTTTACGACGCGTGGACTTCAACTCCCAGAATTCCACACGTCCCAAAAGGGCCAAGTTTGAAGACCCTTGCTTTACACCAACCCAGTCAAAGGGTGGAGGACGACGGGATTTCTAGTATATCCTCCACCACCCAGTCAGAACTGGGGAAGCTTCTTGGATGAGAAGCGAAACGCCTTCAAAGACAAACAAAAGTCCAAATTGCCTCATGGAAATAGACCCTTTGGGACAAGCTTCCTCCTTCCAAATGTTGAGGTGGGTCGGGCTTTTCGTATTTCCTGACTCCGGCAGGGTTTCTGTTATCTTTCCCCAGAGTGGTCGGCGGCTTTGAGGCCCTCACGGCGATGGAGAACGTGGAGAGCGACCCCAAGACGGACCGTCCCAAGGTCAGTGTCTTTGGGCCAAGATCCAACCGACGCAGGATCAACCCTGGGTTGGGCAGGGCTACGATTTCGACTTTGCCCCAAGGGACCACGAGAAGCCTGCGGGGGAAAAATGTTTTATTTTCCCGTTTTCTCTTTTTTTTTTCCCCTAAGGAGGAAATAAAAATCAAGTCCACGATGGTTTTTGTCGATCCATACGAAGAGGCAGATGCCCAGGTGAGAGGGAGGGACTTCAAGTTACCTATCAAAAGAATTCGGGGAGAAAATTGACGTGCGGCCTTCACACACACACACACACACACACACAAATTCTCTCATGTATTAGTTTTGTTGGGCTGGTGGGAAAGACAGAAATACTGGGATTTTTGTACAAGAGTCTGTCTTCCTTCCTTCCTTCCTCTCTTCTCCCCATTTTTCTTTCTCCTTTTTTGCCCTTTTTCCTTCCTTTTTTCTCTTTCTTTTTTCCCTCCCTCCCTTTCTTCCCCTCTCTTCTTCCTTCCTTCCTTCCTTCCTTCGCTCTGCTCATCCCCAAAATCAGAAGTTTCTACCTGTCATTCTCTCCAAAGCCATCAGCCAGAGTGGCCACCCAGAATACCGGTAAGTCCTCATCTTAACGACCACAATAGCAATCTCATTTCCTAGGAGTTGTGTCTTTTTGTGGTTATTGCCACGTCCTACCTCTGCTTTTTTTCCTCAAAAATGAGGAAGCAACAGAGGGGAAGAAAGATCCTTCTTTTCTCCTTCTTTCCTTCCTTTTGCTTTTCTTTCCTTCCTTCTTTCCCCCTTTCCTCCGTCTCCCTTCTCCCCATTTTTCTTTCTCCTTTCTTCCCCCTCTTCTTTTTTCCTGCCTTTTCCCCCCTCTTCTTCCCTCTTTTCTTTTTCTTTCCTTCTTTCCCTCCCTCCCTCCTTCCTTCCTTCCTCTGCTCATCTCAGCCAGTGACTTTGGGCACCTGATAGTTCTAAAACTATAAATACTGTGTGCAGCTGTTGCCCATCTCAGGTTTTCAGCCCAGCAGTGCCCCGTGGCCTGTTTAAAGCCTCTTTTTCTGGGCTTTTTGGGGAAGATTGACCTGGCTCCCTTCACTTTCTCCAAGGTGGCCAAAGAAAGAGAGAAGGCCCAGCAGGAAGAGGAGGCAATGAAGGCCAAAAGCAAAGACATCCCAAAGAAGGAGCCTCCCACACCAAAAACCTACCGCACAGGAGTTGGGAAATACATCAATATAGCAGCGGCGTAAGTTCCGGTTGTGTTTGACCTTTTGTTGAGTTTCTAGGTTCTATTCTATAGGGGGATGAAGCAGCACTACGTGTGTATGGGACGTAGGGAAAAAAAAACCTCTGCCAGTTGATCCTATTGAAGCTGTGCAAAGACTTTTTTTGTGGGTTCAGGCAGTGAAAATACCAGTTTGCCCCCCCAAGAAAGCAGCTTAGAGCCAGTTAGATGAGTGGATGACCAGATAGCTTAAGGGGACCGGTTCCCGCTTCTCTTGACCTCCCATTTAAAACAACGACAGAACTTTTCACCCTTCGCTTTTTTTTAATTTTCCCAAATTGGTTCCTCTGAAAGACGAAGTGGAAAGACTTATGTGGGGTTTTTTAATGACTAAAGTTAGGGGAAAATTCAGTTGATTTGTGCCACTTAGCTTCATCCTTGTCTCCCCCTTGTAAATTTCTACTCCTCTCTTCCATTCTTTTTGGAAAAATTTAAGCCAGGGTCTGCTTGTAGCATGACCTTAAACCAGGGGTTGTAGTGTGACTTTAAGCCAGGGTCTGTTTTGTAGCATGATCTTAAGCCAGGGTCTGTTTGTAGCGTGATCTTAAGCCAGGATCTGTTTGTAACATGACCTTAAGCCAGGGTCTGCTTGTAGCGTGACTTTAAGCCAGGGTTTGTTTGTAGCGTGACCTTAAGCCAGGGTTTGTTTGTAGCGTGACTTTAAGCCAGGATCTGTTTGTAGCGTGACCTTAAGCCAGGTTTGTAGCATGACTTTAAGCCAGGGTCTGCTTGTAGTGTGACCTTAAGCCAGGGTCTGCTTGCAGTGACCTTAAGCCAGGGTCTGTTTGTAGCATGACCGTAAGCCAGGGTCTGCTTGTAGCGTGACCTTAAGCCAGGATCTGCTTGTAATGTGACCTTAAGCCAGGGCCTGTTTGTAGGAGAGGTGTGTGTGTGACTTGTGCATTTTGTCACGCAGGAAGCGAGCCGCAGAAGACGGGCCGTCCACCAGCGTGGTCAGCAAGAAGGAGAAGAAAACTGCCGGCTTTGGAGATTTCAGCTCCTGGTAGCCCACGGCGGGGGGGGGACCAGCTTTGTGCCTCTACTGCCGTCACACCCACAACCAATGACTCTTTACCCTAATCTTTCCCTTAATAAAGTTCCCCTGGCAGACCTTTGTCGGTCGTCCAGGGCTTTGGCCAAAGACAAGTCTTCTCCCTGCGGGCCTGTAAGTCAACGCAACACACAAAGATCTGCAGATTTTAACGGCGGGCGACCCGAGCAGAAGAAAGGAGAGCACTCCCATTTCACAAGCGGCGTGGCTGATGGACGAATTGGGAAGGAGGAGGCCGTGTGGACGGTGGGCCACGCTCCTTGCCAAGGTGGGCCTCCTGGGCCACCGTTTTGAACAGCTGCCCAGGCACTCTTGAAAGACACACAATCTCGGTGACGTCCCGCCTAGAAATTCCAAGCCAGCATCTTTGTATAGAGGAGGTGATGGATAGAGATCCTCAACCGTGGTTTAGTGAGAATTTGGCTTCCGTATCTACTTAATGCCGCAGCTCTGCTCCAGGGTCCCTTAGCTGCTGAAGGGCTGCTGGTCCATCTTCTCTTGGAGGGGTAGCCCTAAAACAGGACCTGCCAACCTTTTCACCCATGGTACCACGCTGAGGGCAAGGCAATATCCGAGTCCCACCAGTCGCCTTAGCAAGGTGTCAAAAACTTGATGGCCAAAAACAAAACAAAAAAGGGAAAAAAATGACAAAGTACAGGTGGTCCTCGACTTACAACGATTTGCTTAGGGACTGTTCAAAATTACAACGGCACTGGAAAAAGGGACTTACGACCAGGTTTCACACTTATGGCTGTTGCAGCATCCCCAAGGTCCTGTGATCGACATTCGGATGCTTGGCCACTGATTCATACTTACGACGGTCAGTGTCCCAGGGTCGCGTGATCACCTTTTGCAACTTTTTGACAAGTGAAGTCAGTGGCAGGGGCGTGGCCAGCTCGTCACTCAGGTTGTGGGGTGCCTGTGGGGGGTGTGGGGGATATCTGTGGGTCTCTGGTGGAGGGGGGTGGGACTGGGGTGGGCGCCTTCTCTCCCTCCCATTGTCCCTTCCTTCCTTTTTTTCTTCCTTCCTTCCATCCATCCTTTGATATTTCCTCCCACCTTCCCTCTGTTCTTTTTCTTGATCCTTCCTTCCTTCCTTCCTTCTTTCCTTTCCTCTCATTGGCCCTCTCAACACCCACAACTTCTGGAGGCAATTTAAATTTAAAACCTTTAAAAACACACATACACACACTTGCTGGCCACTAGCTTTAGCGTAAGCCAGGCATGCAGAGGGAGATGGGGTAGAGTTTACAGAACTGTCAGCTTGCAACAGCAACTGAAATGAAATGGACCTTGAGGTCATCCAGTCCAACCCACTGCTCTCACAAAGAGAGTACAGTACTGTGTACTGTATTTCTGATAAATGCCTATTCAGTTTCTTCTTAAAAGCCTCCAGGGAGGGAACACCCACAACTTCTGGAGGCAATTTAAATTTAAAACCTTAAAAAAAAAGTCCCCCGATCAGCACAAGCCTCTCCAGGCAATATCCAAACTGGGGTGGAGGGTGGGGGATTTCCTTCCAGTAAGGCAGGGGTCTTCCATCTTGGCCCTTTTATGACTTGTGGACTTCAACTCCCAGAATTCCTCAGCCAGGCACGCTGGCTGAGGAATTCTGGCAGTTGAACTCCACAAGTCATCCAAGGGCCAGGTTGGAAGACCCCTGCAGTTAAGGGGTCAGCAGAATCTCTGCTGGGTCTGTGCCAGGGAGAGGAGGAGGCAGCAGCAGCCACAGGCTACCAATGTCAGGCAGATGCAAACAAACCATCTTGCAAAGCGCTGCACTTACCAACACAATAAGAAGCAGAGCAGTTCCCAAAGGGATTGCAAACGACAGAAGTGCAGTTCCACAGAGTAAAAAAAAAAAGAATATTTTAAAATACTTACAGAAGTAATTCTAGCTCTCTAGTCCTCAAGCCCAGCAAGCAGCAGGTCTTCCCGGCAGCTCCAGGAAAGCAAAAGCAAAAGAGATCTTGCAAAAATCAGCCAATCTGCTTCGGCCATGTGACCAGCACCAAACAAAAAACCCCACAACCCACTTCCGGTTTCTCCTCTCCGAGCCACGTGGCTGCAGAGGCCTGTTTGTTGGTCGCGGTTTTGCACGTCTAACAGTGAGTAGCCTTTCTGAATTAGTTTGTTTTTCTGAACACTCACTAAACAAACGTTCGTACCTGGGGGGAATTAAGTGTATATAGCCATTCGTGTTAAAATTAAGAATAAGTCCCACTTGAATAACTGCACTCTGCTTTTAATTAAACAGCCAGTTGCATGTCCCTGCATTTAAACATGGAGACCTTGTTGAAGAGCCAATGATGGACTCTGGGGCTCCCCTTTTTTTCCAGGCACCCAGTGGAAAGGGTTTTTAAAAAATAAAATAAACTCCTAGGGTTTTCTTTGCATTTGTTCCAATTTGAATAACTGCACCCTGCTTTTAATTAAATATGGCGACCATTTTGAAGAGCCACTGATGGACTCTGTGGCTCCCTTTTTTTCCAGGCACCTAATGGAAAGGTTTTTTTAAAATAAAATAAAATAAACTCCTAGGGTTTTACTTTGCATTTGTTCCAATGTACTGTGCGCTTGAATAACTGCACCTGCTTTTAATTAAACAGCCACTTGCATTTAGATATGGCAACCATTTTGAAGAGCCCCTGATGGACTCTGTGGCTCCCTTTTTCTTCCAGGCACCCAATGGAAAGGTTTTTTTAAAATAAAATAAAATAAAATAAACTCCTAGGGTTTTACTTTGCATTTGTTCCAATTTACTGTGTATTTGAATAACTGCCCCCTGCTTTTAATTAAACAACCCGTTGCATGTAGCTGCATTTAAACATGAAGGCCTTGTTGAAGAGCCACTGAAGGACTCGTGGCTTCCTTTTTTTTCCAGGCACCCAGTGGAAAGGTTTTTTTAAAAAATAAAATAAAATAAACTCCTAGGGTTTTCTTCTCAAATCGGCTGGGCGAGGTGAACCAGCGACATGCTGAACCTGCCTGTGCGCACGCAGAGGCAGAGGAGAGCGCACTGAGACCAGCTCTTACAGCATCTTGAAAGCCTGGTGTTTTCTCTCCCTTCCTTTCATGCCAAGGGTAGCCTAGTTAAATTTCATTCTGATGTGGTCTTGTTTCTTGAGCTGACCTCCCATTTTGCTAACAATCTCTATCTTCCCCAAGGTCAACCTTATGTTGGTCTATTGCCATTTCTTTCAAATGGCTTGGATTTTATATTTGATTGGGTTGTCCTCCATGGGGGATGTAAGCGTTCTAAGATACCACACCTTCACACAACTGGCTTGCACGGCTACACAAAGGATGTTGCTTGGAAGCAACATGAATTCCTTGTTCGTAGGACTCGGGTCCTTGGGTTGGCTCTGAGGATGCACTGAGGACTTTCTCAGATGTGTGTCTTTCCACTCTGGCTTTCAGGGCCACAATCAGAAGGGTTGGGTAGCTGTGCCCGGGTCTGACACAACACAGGCCAACTTTAGGAGCAACTACACCGAGCATTTCAGAAGATGGAGATCCCCCAAGTAATATTGGAAAACCTGAGGAGGAGAAACGATGAAGAGCTTGGCTAAGGTCTTTGGTGCCTTCAAGGGGGATTCATCTTGATCCTCATGTCAACTTCTTTTATTCACTAATCTTTATCAAGAGCATGATAGAAGAAAATTAGAGATGGTGCCAAACATAGATTTCCAGATGCTGTTGGACTACAGTCCCTAGCGTCCCTTACTCTGGCCTGAGGCTGCTGGGAGTTGTAGTTTAGCAACATCCGGACAGGTTTTCTGCCTCTGCTATTCTTTTGTTCTTTGTATTCATTATCTGTCTATCTATCTATCCATCCATCTCTATTTCATCTCTATCTTTATCCCCCTTTTCTCTCTTTCATCTCTGTTGTATCTCTCTTTTGTCTATATCTTCACATTTTATATCTCTTTATCTCATTTATATTTCACCTGCTTATCCATTTTTCTATCCATCTCTCTATATCTCTTCTCTGTTTCATATCTCTCTCCCTCCCTCTTTCCCTCCCTGCAATATCTTTTTTTGCTTATAATACATGGAGAAGGCTGGGGGTATTACACATATCGTAAATAGAAAAAACGCTTTTTGTAACATAACTGCTGCTAAAAGTGAAATGAATGCAGTAGAGCCATCATATACCCACTCGAGTAAAAATACTCGTTGTGTGATATCTCACTGGTTGAATAATTTAAGAGACGTAGTAGTTATCCAGTGTGTTAAGTTTCCCTTCTCCCTCCTTGCCTCTTTTTCCTTATGTTGTGTCATTCTGTACAGGCCAAATGATATAAAAAAAGACTTTTGCAGAAATATTAGCAATTTTATTAATAAAAATTAACAACACAATCCTTCATGTAACCCATGTAAAAAACAGGCAGGCTTTGATAGGATGATCGCAACTGCCCTTGTGACTTTTTTCCCCTTCCAAGTGCCCCCTGGAGTCTTGTGTAAAGAAAAAAAAAATACAGCCTCTTTTATCTCTTTTTCTAATTAATAAATACAAAAAAGAAAGCACCAAATTCTAAAGGGACAAGCTAAAAAAAGAAATGAAAACATGCAGGATATATATTTACAGAAGGTCTATATCCATAAACGGAAGTGAAGTGATGATTCATTACAGACATTCAGATGGGAATCCCAACTATCTTCAGCTCTGTAGGGGTAGACAACCCTGGTGCCTGTTTGCTCAGTGGGCTATTTCAACTCAATTTGAAATTGGAGAAAGGTGTTACGAACGTTACAAGGGTGGTAGGGTTAGGTTAACTGGCCCAAGGAAAGCAGAAAAGAGTCCTCCTCAAGGGAGGTGGGCAAAAAGTTCACAAGAGGAAGCCACCTCATGCAGGACCAAGCAAAGGTAGGGGAGTCCATGCATCCCCTTTGGAGTGAATCTCTCTCCCACCAGCTATTTTTTGGGGGAAATCTAAGGCCAAGTCAACTGTGAGTCATTCTGGAATGTAACATTTGCCCTTTCTGAAGTATGACTGAAGATTTGCAGGATGAGAAATTGTCTTCTCTAACTCTTGGTTTTTTTTTTCTTTCCTTCCGATGCCAGATATGGGAAGGAATCGACA